ATCCTCATCCTCGGCTCTTCCTCCTCCTCCTCATCTTCCTCATCTTCATCCTCACCCTGCTCTCCTCCTCCTCTTCCTCTTCGTCTTCATCCTCATCTTCATCCTCAGCTCCTCCTCCTCCTCATCTTCATCCCCACCCTGCTCTCCTCATCTTCATCCCCACCCTGCTCTCCTCCTCCTCTTCCTCAGCCTGCTCTTCTTCATCCCCCCAGCCCGTTCTCCTCCTGCTCTTCCTCATCCTCATCCTCATCTTCATCCTCACCCTGCTCTCCTCATCTTCATCCCCACCCCATTCTCCTCCTCTTCCTCCTCATCTTCATCCCCACCCTGCTCTCCTCCTCCTCTTCCTCAGCCTGCTCTTCCTCCTCCTCCTCTTCATCCTCAGCTCTCCCTCCTCCTCCTCTTCTTCATCTTCATCCCCACCCTGCTCTCTTCCTCATCCCCAGCCTGCTCTTCTTCATCCCCCCGGCCCGTTCTCCTCCTCCTCCTCATCTTCATCCTCCTCTTCCTCGTCTTCATCCCCCCCGCTCTCTTCCTCCTCTTCCTCATCTTCATCCTCAGCCCGATTTCTGCTCCTCGTCTTCATCCCCAGCCCGTTCTCCTCCTGCTCTTCCTCATCCTCATCCTCATCTTCATCCTCACCCTGCTCTCCTCATCTTCATCCCCAGCCCGTTCTCCTCCTCCTCCTCCTGTCCTTCATCCCCACCCTGCTCTCCTCCTCCTCTTCCTCAGCCTGCTCTTCCTCCTCCTCCTCTTCATCCTCAGCTCTTCCTCCTTCTCCTCCTCATCTTCATCCCCACCCTGCTCTCCTCCTCCTCATCTTCATCCCCAGCCCAAAATTTGGGAATTCAGGAAAATTCCCGAGCGGGGGGTTGGGGGGGTCCTGCTCGATCCCACCGGTGTTCCGGGTGGAATTTGGGGTCACATCCCGGAGGAGGAATCAATTAACGGAATTAATTAACAACGGAATTAATTAACGGGATTAACGGAATTCCGGGAAT